TAGGGGGCTGGAGAGATGGCTCAGAGGTTAAGAGCACTGGCTGTTCTTCCAAAGGTCTTGAGTTCTATTCCCAGTCAACCACATGATGGTTCACAACCATCTATAATGAGATCTGGTGCCCTCTTCTGGCCTGCAGGCACACATGCAAGCAGAATACTGTATAAATAATAAATACATTTTTTAAAATTTAGATTTGGGATTCTCTTTAGATTTTTTTTTTACAAAATTACTTCTTAAGATAAATAATAAGATTGTTGATCCTTTCTTTGCAACGACAAATTGCAGCCTGCCAGTAAGAAAATTGACTTAGAATAATATCTTGCTTGCTTACACTTTAATAATCTCTAATAAGTTGCTTAAATGCAAATGCATATGAGTTCTCAGAAACAATTCTGATTTTCTCAACGGTAATAAGTAAGACCTTTAATATGTAAAGGTACTGGGGAACATGCTGGGTTGTTGTTGTTTTTTAACTTGAACTCACTGTAATCATTCACTTGGAGAAAAATAGATGTAATCACATTATAAATTTTATATTGCTTCAAAGATTTTGTTGGATATATAAGCTCTAGGGAAAAATATTAAATTGTTGATGCTTTGCTTCATAGCAAGAGTGTGTGTGTATGTTTATGTACATATATGCATATATATGTGTGTGTGTGTGTGTGTGTGTGTGTGTGTGATTTTTTTTCCCCTTTTTCTGGACCCCAGAGAGTTTTTCGAGTTTTGCTCCTTCAGAGAAAAGTCTGCTGAGTGATTAATCACACACTATGCCCTTTCTTGGTGTACCTGTCAAAGCTGGCCTTCAGCATTGTACTCTTTTTCTTGTTCTTTTATTCTGTTTCCTCTTCCCTTTTCCCCTCCTGTCTTTTCTCTTCACTCCCCTCCCCCACTCTTTCTCCAGTTCTGCAACTACCCTTTGTCTCTTTCTTTGCAGGGCTTTGCTCTGTGGCCCAGGTTGGCCTTGAACTTTCAATCCTCCTGTCTCAGCCTCCTTAGCTCTGGGATTATGGAACATGACGCCATACGTGGCCTTATCTTGTATCTGTCCGAGTCAAAGTTTCTCTTACAGTGTGGTTTCACTGCTATGCTTAGTTATAAATATTAAGTAGGAGAAAAGGCAGAAGTTTAATACCACAAAAGTTTTCCTTAACAATCCTCTGATTTCTCCCTGCGCAAAGCCGTCGAGCGAAACCATTTTTGTTCAAGTATGGGAATATATCACTGTTTTCTTAATTGAATATATTATTTAGTAGCTTTGTGTTCTACAAAATGATATAGGCACGAACACATATGAACATACGTGTGTGGGATCAGTAGAAGGTGGCCCAACTCAATGAAGGACAAGAGCACACAAGACTTACCTGTGATTGTGAAAACAGCTGTTATAGCCAAAAGGATGAAGATAGCCAGGTAAAGGTCCAACCCAAAAGCCAGCTTTATGAATATGGCTCCAGAAAAGATGTTCGCCTAGAAAGAGAACAGTGAAGATGGAGAGAAGCATGCATTTCAGGGCTCTGGTTTCTTTATTCAAGGCTCACATGCCCCACTCTCTTCCTGGTGAACTCCTATTCATACCTGAAGACACTACATAAATATTCCCAGAGGAAGATAGTCTCCCCGATCCTCCTGTTTCCCTTGCCTCTTTCTAGCTCTGGAGTTACAGGTAAGCACATGACTGTAGTAGAAGTTCTGGTTTCTTTTAAAATGCAATTATGTTAGGCAAGCATATTTTTGTTTTAATCCCAAGTATAGGATATGGAGTTGTTTTTAGTTTGTCCACAGCTGATAACTGCCTCATGCAACTCAGAGAGGGGCATGGTCTTTGCTGGAGTTAGTGGAATTCTGAGGACTCTGGGAGAGTATAAATACAAGAGCCCAGAGAGAAAGAGAGAGAAGTTGGGCTTCAAGAGAACAGACAGAGGAGAAAGAAGGCTGCTGGTTCTTTCTGCTGCTGCCATTGGAGGTTTGCTGGACTACTAGATATCCTGACAGACTTTCCCAAACAACCCAAAGACCCTAAACAGCCAGAACTAAGTCTAAAGAGGTCTACATCCCTTTTCCTTCTACCCATCTTTCTCTCCTACCTAGGTCTGGAGAGTAGAAGGGAGATAAAGGCTTTAGGAAATCCAAATAAAATAGACGTTAAAAAGTAACATCTACACTTGACCATGTCTAGAGTGTTGCTTTGGTGCAAGGTATTGAGACTCAGCTCCTCATGCTGGCACAGGAAACACTGTTACCCGTGGAGCCATTTCCCATCTCTCAACATATACTCTTAAGTTAGCATCCTGTTTTTGTTGGGGACTGGAGGTGGGAGAGGCACAGAATCTCACTGGCTTATCTCCAACTCAGAGATCCACCTGCCTCTGCCTCCCAAGCGATGAGATTAAAGGTATATACTACCATGCCCAGGCTTCAAATTAGTGTTAGTATTCGTTTACCAATTTTTAAAAATTTACACACACACATACTTTTCTTATTAAAATCACAAGGGATTGGTCTATTTCAAGAGATAAATGGGATAATATTTTTTTTGTTCATTCTGGAAATCCTTTAGCTGCCAAAGAGTTAACTGTATTTTTAAACCATTGAAAAATATGTGCATTTTAGCTACTGTTATTATAATCATGTCAAATGTCAGGAAAACAGTGAGGCTTAGGGGGTTGGTTTGACACCACAAAGGCAGTAAGTGTTAATTTTTGGGCTTATTTGTTCTATATGTCCAAAGGCTGCACTGTTAGACACTTTGTTATACAGCTCTCATGGGATTTTACTTAGTGATATAAATCTAGAATAGCTGAAAATATAGCGAAATCCCTCTGGGAAGACGGTGGGGTTAGCAGGATAGTTTGTGAACCTCTATGCATCTTTACGTCAAAGAGAGCTAGCAAATACCAGACAAAACACTGTGTCAGGATATGTCCATGGGGTCCTTGATAGAAGACGTGGGGGAGAATCAACCTCAGGCACAAGATCTGGAAGACATGAGGATTAGAGAGGAAGCAAAGAGAAACAAAACTTAAGTGAGGGCCTTGGAATTATATAGAATCAAAATGCATCAGGCATTCACTTACAAGGGCTGTTTTTGATCTGAAACTAGTGGAAGTTTTGATCTAGTGAATATTGGGTGAGAGGAAACACTTCCTCTTCCTGTCTTTTCCTTGGACAGGGTCTGTTCATCTTGCCCAGGCTAATCTTAAACTCCTGGACTCATATCATCCTCTTTCCTCAGCCTCCCAAGTGGAAGCCAAAAATACAGGTGTGTTCAATCACTGGGCCTTTTTAATATTACATTTATTGTGCATGTATTTGTGTATATGTGTGTGTGTGAATGTGTGTGCTGCTTGACTGATGGATTGTGAGAGTTGATGCTCTCCTTCCATCATGCAGGTCCCAGGTTTCAAACTCACGCTGTTAGTCTTGGCAGCAAGCACCTTTGCTCACTGAGCCAATATCCCCACCCCTCTTGTTAGGTTCTGCAAGGAGATGAATAAAAGTGGAATGACTTCTCACAAGTTACTGACAAAATTATCTTTCAGAAAAGAGTCGTCCAGTGAAGAGAAACTTCTAGAAATAAAACCCAAATCTAGTAATACCGTATTTGGCTGTCTCTGTTAGTGTTGATGTGAAGGAGAAGAATTGCAAATAAATCCTGATTTGCGGGAGGTTTGTTAGTTGAAGAAATATGTGAAAGCTGGAAATGGAAAAGATACAAAGAAAGTCACAAATAAAGGAAAACCCATCAGAATAAGTTGATTTCTAAATGAAAACTTTGAGAAACAAAAGAGCCTTGGACAATGCTTTCCAAGTCCTGAAAAATTGTGGTGACCAACCTAAGGTAATATTTTCAGCAAAACTATATGTCATATTTGAAACATAATAAAAGCTTACCGTGAAATAAACAGCCTAAAACACTTTATATCCAAAAAATAAACCTAAAGAAAATACAGGAAGCAATAATTTGGGTCAAATAGAGGAATGAATATATCAAAGAGACTGTGAAAAGAAATACAGGGCTGTAATTATTAAATTATAAAGTACCATTGAGAACAAACAACACCAAAAATTCAACAACACAATGGCTACTACTGTTAACTCATATTTTAGTAATGAATTTAAAAATCAGTGGCCTTAATTCTCCAATCAAAAGACACAGCCTCATCAAGAAATAAAATCCATCTATCTGTTGTCTACAGGAAATACATCTCAGCTTTAAAGACAGAGACCGCCTTAGAGTAAATGTAGGGATAAAATTACTACAATCAAATGGAAAAAGGAAGCAAACAAGCATCAATATCTTAGTATCTGACAAAATAGAGTACAAACTGTACTAATCTGAAGAAACCAAGGGGAAAGTTAACCAAGAAGACAAACTATCATACTATCATAAACTGGTGCATCCAATTATATATATTAAAAAAATGTACTGCTGTATTTAAAGACACAGACTAACACCAATCCATTAATAGTATAAAATTTTAATAACCCATTTTCTCCAATAGACAGTTTATACAGAAAAATAGATCAAGAAACATCAGAATAAATTGATAATCACACATCAAATAAACTTAAAAGATATCCACAGAATGTTCTACACAAACACCAAACACATTTTACTCAGCAGTATACAGAAGTTTTTCTAAAATAGACCACATCCTGGGGCACAAAGCAAATCTTTACAAGCTTACAGAGATTGAAATAACTCCATGCATCCTATCTGACCATGGAACAATCAAACTGGTCCTCTGAATATAAGATAATGCAAATAGGTCATGCACAAAATTATCACCCTGCACAAAATTTAACTCCAAATGGATCAAGGATCTCAGCCAGATGCACTGAATCCAATAGATTAGAAAGAGAGTAATACACTTGAACTCATTGGCACAGGAAAAAAAACTTTGTGAACAGAACACTGATAACACAGGGACTAAGAGCAATTAATACATGACATCTCATGAAATTAAAAAGCTTCTGTATGTCAAAGGACATCATCATTCAGAGAGAGTGTCAGCCTAAAGAATAGGAAAAGATTTTTAGCGGCTATTCATTTGATAGAGGGCTAATATCTAATGTATATAAATTACTCAAAATATCGGACATCAAGGAAACAAATAACGCAACTTAATATAAGGTACAGATCTAAACAGAGAGCTGTCAAAATTTGAAACACAAATGGCTGAGTAACACTTAAAGAAATGTTCAACATCCTTAGTCATTAGGAAATGCAAATCAAAACATTGAGATTTGATCTTACGTAAGTCAGAATGGCCAAGATCAAGAAAACAAATGGCAGCTCAGCCGTTGCTAGTGGGACTGTAAACTTGTATGGTCACTATGGTAATCAGTGTGGTGGCTCCTCAAGAGACTGGGAATGGATCTACTTCAAGACCTAGCTATACCACTCTTGGGCATATACTTAAAAGACTCTACATCCTACTACAGAGACACTTGCTCAACCATGTTTGTCGCTGCTCTATTCATAGTAGCCAAAAACTGGAAACAAACTAGATGTCCATCAACAGATGAATGGATGCAGGAAATGTGATACATTCACACAATGGGATATTTCTCAGCCATTAAAAAAATAAAATCATGGCATTTGCAAGTAAATGGATGGAGCTAGAAAAAAATTCTGAATGGAGTGATTAAGACCAAAAATGACAAATATGGTGTGTATTCACTTACATGTGGATAAGTCCTCAATAAGCAGGCCACAGTCTGTATAATCACAGAGGTTAGGTACGGAGTAAGGGGCTAGGAAGGAAGGATGGATACCCCAGAGAAGAGGAAATAGAATAGATTTCTATGGATGATTAGGGGAGACTCAAATGAGAGGTTCAAATTGGGAGGGGGAAGAAATAGAAGACTAAGGGAAAGAAAATGGAGAAAGACAGATTAAAAATAAGAGCTGTTTGAAGGGTCATATGGAAACATAATCCAATAGAAGCTTCTTAAAATATATACATGCATGAAAGAAATCTAAATTGGGCTCACCAAATAATGGAGAAGACAAAGCCACAATTAAACATCCCTTACCACCAAATGAAGCCTTAGTTCCAGGAATGGTTACAACTAATTGAGGTGTTAGCCAAATGGGCACCATATAAACCCCTAAACAACCCATGCTATGGGCTGTTCTTCACAAACTGATGGTAAGGCCCTGTTGCTGAAGACAGCATCTATACACCTCACTGAACAGAGAAGAGTTGAGCTGGTGCCTTCCTAGAGCCTTTACTCCCACTGGCTAGTGTTTATAGTAGTACTCTGGCGGTGTTCGCTGTACACTACCAGAGAAGGAATGTAGACACCCACCTAGCTACAGACCCAGCGATGTGCAATGGTGACCTGCTTAAAAGATATGCTGGTACAATAGAGGCAGGAAGGTTGTGGGAGCAACCAGCCACTATCTGATTGGAATTAAGGGCCGCTCCATGAGATGGAACCCATGCCTGACATTACTTGGGTGTCCAAGAACCTGAGATATTCCAAGGAACTAGGGGAAAACCAAATACTAATATTCTTTTAAAGGAACACACCAATAAAGTGAGTCCTAACAACATTCTGCTATACTCATAGATCAGTGTCTCACTCAGCCAGCACCAGAAAAGCTTCCTACTGCAGTTGATGGGAACAAATTCAGAGACCCACAACTGGACAATGGTCACAGAACATGAGACTTTGGAACATTTCATCCTAAATGGAATGTCTCCATCAAATCCCTCTCTTCAGACCTCAAAGAACTCTGAAGAAGAGGAGGAGGAAAGATTGTAAAAGCCAGATGGGTGGAGGACGCCAAGAAAAAAAAGACTTCTAGATAGAACAGGACAGACACAAATATGAACTCAGAGACTGTGGGTGCATGCACAAAACCTGCACAGGCTTTGGCCAGTTAGGGTCCCAGCACTGACGGGGAAAGTGTACAAATAACACTACCCTTAACCCAGTCATCTACCTCAAATTGGTAATCATTCACAAAGGAAGAGTTAATTTTCACCACTGGTTATATAAATCACACTTAAAGGCAGGCCCCATGCCCAGCAGTAAATGGCCAAAAGAATACAAACTCAGTGGTATTTTTGGAGGTTTTTTGCTTTGTTTTGTTTTGGATTTTGTCTCACAGTGCTTCATCCAAGCATTATTTTTTTTAACTTTATAGACCTTCTCCTTGCATATTATGTTTCCTGATTTTGGTTTTATGGGTTTTCTGCGTGTGCAAATGTGGGTGATTCAGCATCTGTGTGTCTTTCTTGTGTATCTTCCTTTGCTCTTTTTTCTGTTTGTTTTGTTTTACTATGATTTCTTAGTTTTATTTTATTTTTTATTATGAATATTATGGATGCCTGTTTTATTTTAATGAGAGAGAAAATAAAGGGTGTGGATTTGGGAGGGTTGAAAACTGGAAGCATCTAGGAGGAGCTTGGGGAGGAGAACCATAATAAAATACATTGTGTGAAAAGATCTATTTCAATAAAAATAATAAATTTATGGGTGGGAAAATTAACTATTTAAAAAATAAAGTAGAAAAAAGTGTTAAAAAAAAGAAAAAAGAAACCTTTGAAATAAAGAGAAATTTTAATGACGTATGATTTTCTTTTGCTAAAAGAGATTATTTTGGAACCATTGGTAATATCTTAGTAAAATCTTAGTGTGTAGACATGTTAATTTCTAAGTTTCGTTGTTTTCCAGAAGAGCAGCAGCATTTTCAGGGAGTGTGGACTGAAATACTCAGGGATTACAAGTCATGGTGCCCACCACTGAGTCTCCGTGTACAGGTTCCTGAAGGCTGAGAGCCCGGGATCCACCTTTTCTCAATCCTGGTAGGCGAGATTCTGAAAACTCCTCCATCTTAAGTTCTTGTAATGATTTCTTAACAAGTAGCCAGGATAGAACTGGCTATCGGAGGGTGTGTGTATATAAACAATGTGTCCTCAGGTTAACCATCATCGGTATCACTCAAGACATAGCCCTGTAGGCATAGAAGGACTGCTGCTGTGCCATCGGCTGATCACAGACACGCATGGAAGCCCGTGTGCGCTAATTCCTTGCGACCCCACTCAGCTTACCTATATCCCATCTCTTACTTACAACCCAGAACCATGCACTCCAAAAGGCCACATCCCTCAAGAGAGCCTTTGCTGCTGCCCTTCTGCTTTGGCCCTTGCTCATGATCTTTGGAACCATGGAGCTGCAGGTGTCAGGGGGGACCTGGGAGATTAGCAAGTTCCACCCACTTGGAGGAACAATAACACAATGTCCCTGGTACCAAGGGGGGGGGGTCTTCTGTTTCTGCTAACATTCCCACCTCAGGGACTGTGTAAGCAAAAGGCCATTTGCAATCCCACCTGGCAGGTACTAACCTCTTCTGGTTGTGCGCGGCACACCTTTTCTGCTTCTGTCTTTGTAAGTAGCCAGGTATTAAGATACAAATCCTCATCTCCTTGGGGTGTGGTAACTCCTGTTGCTTGGGAATCTCACCTCAATAAAGGGAGAATGTGCTCACAGGGCATGAGGAAGGCCTGTAGCATCTAGGCCCACAGCTGGCTTACTCGGAACAGTAACAGCCCAACAGAAGAGGAACAGGAAAAGCAACTTTTCTCTCCTAACATCAAAATGTGTGCCTGGGCTATGAACTCTGATGTTTTATTAGGCATTGATACATAAGGATAAATAAGCTGCCCTTTCTTTCTTCACGTGCTGCTCAAAGGTCAAATGCCTGACATCTTTCATCAGAGATGATTTCCAGGGAATAATCATTTTAGGGACTCATTTATGATTCAGGTTTTACAAGGGCAGTCTTTGATAAGGCAAACTCAAGTCAGTTTAATGCAAGCCAGAGCTAGCTCAGAGAAAATTTAGGCAACTTACCATGCACTGGGCAACGGAGAAGCAAGAGGCCCCTGCAGGAAGCAGCCATTATTACTTGTGTGAGTGATATTTGCTCTTTGGCCACACCTGCATTTTCACACTAGCATGTTCTCAGGGGTGGACCTACACTCTTGTTCTCCTGACGTGAAAGGCTGCTGCTCCAGGCACATGGATGTCCTGAGCATTTTCCCACCCAGGAAGTTCTGACCCTGCTGGTGCTATTGGCAGTCTATACACACCAGTCTCTGATTTTAGCAACCAGCCCCAACAAGCAAACTGTGGACTCTCCAATGCCAGGAGGCAGGAAACTCAGATTGACAGCACCACACAGTTGAAAAGGGAGAGGACAGAGAGATAGATCTGGAGTCTTTTCCCACCGAACCGCTTCTTGAGATATTCTGGCATGGTCATCACCTGCAGACAGAGAGGGCAACAGAAATTCACCTCCATGCCTAGTGCCATCAGATGATTTGACATTTGCTAAATGGCATCAGAGAGTTAAGCACTAAGTATGACATCTTGGGGATTCAGAAGTGAGGAAGACACAATTCCTTAGTAGAGTGATAATTCTGGAATGAATTCAGACACTAAAGACAAAATGACAATCTCTTCCAGGCTCTAATGTTTACCACATATTATTACTTTTTGCAAATGAGTCTCTGAATTTCCCTTTTCTTAAAGTAGAGGTTTAGTACAAAAGTATAAATAAAGTGACTGCCACATCACTCAGTAGACGACACTCTACACGTAATTTTTATTATTTTTACTAGTAATGCTGCAGTACAGCAAAAATAGTATTTGTAAAATAATAAATTGTAATATAATTATAAAATAAATTGATTGCTGATAATATTGTAAGTACATACTTGAGTATGCATTTATATGATTTTCTTTATTGAAAGTAAAAGAAGGGGGAGATAGAAAGACCTGGAGGGAACAGGAGCTCCACAAGGAGAGCAACAGAACCAAGAAATCTGGGCCCAGTGGTCTTTTCTGATACTGATACTCCAAACAAGGACCAAGCATGGAGATAACCTAGAACCCCTGCACAGAAGTAGCCCATGGCAGCTCAGTGTCTAAGAGGGTTCCCCAATAAAGGAACAGCGACTGTCTCTGACATGAACTCAGGGGCTGGCTCTTTGATCACTTCCACCTGAGGAGGGAGCATCTTTACCAGGCCACAGAGGAAGACAAAGATAGACATGTCCTGATGAGACATGATAGACTAGGGTCAGATAGAAGGGAAGGAGGATCTTCCCCATCATTGGACTGGGGGAGGGGCATAGGAGAAGAAAAGAGAGAGAGGGTGGGAATGGAAGGGGTTGGGGGAGGAGGCTACAGCTGGGATACAAAGTGAATACACTGTAATTAATATAAAAAATTTAAAAAAGAAAATAAGAGTTACATTAAGTCTTAAGTTAGAGAGATACCTGTAACTTTCTTTACTGAAGTACAAAATTGCTCATGAGACATTTACAATAAGAAATTCACCTTTCTCTCTTTATCAGAGTGATCGTGCTCATTATTTAATATCTTCCATTATAAAACATGTTAACAAATATACACACACATCCCCTGTTATAAAAAACAAGAAGAGGAATTCTTAGCAGACCTCCAACTGAGAGAATCCCTGGAGAGATGGCAAGCTACAGCCAAACCCACACAGGTGTTCAGGGGCAGGAACAAATAAATGTGCCACCTTCTGCAGAAGTGCAAAGGAGGAGCTCCTCATCTAGAGAAAATTTTCAGACAACCATCCTGAAGAAAGGCCATCTGACCCCTGGTGTTTGTTCAGTGAGTCATTCTCGGAGCTATCCAAGGCTCATAACCGACGTCTCCAGAGAGCAAGATGCACATATTTGTTCTTACACAGATCTCCCTCCTGACCAACCTGCCCATCTCTGCATGGCTCCCCTCTGTGGTTCTTGCCCCATTTATGGAGGACTCATGCATGCTGGTTGCCAAAACTTCAAGCCTTCAAATGGTCCATGCTGCCTTCAAATTGTTCATGCTGCCTTTACTTCTGATCTGCTAACACACACGTCACAAGTATCCAAAAAAGTGGCTTCCCTTTCTCCCTGTTTCCTTTCTTGAGCCTCACACGGGAATGTATGAACTTTTTAGTCATTATTTTGTAATCATTATTTTAATCATTATTTGTCTCATGTGGCCCAGGCTAGCCTCAAACTTGATTGTAACCAAGCAGGATGTTGAACTCCTGCTCTTTCTGCCCATGTCTCCTCCTAAGTTCTGGTATTACAGGCCTGTGCTACCATTGCTAGCTAAGACTTAATGAACATTTGAGTGAGCGAGTGTGTGTGTGTGTGTGTGTGTGTGTGTGTGTGTGTGTGTGTGTGTAGACCAGGGGACAGCCTTGGGTGTTGTCTTTATGAGACAGGGTCTCTTACCAGGCTGGAGCTTGGTGATTAGGATAGACCATCTGTCTAGGAAGTCTTCAGGATCAGCCTGTGTCTGCTTCCTCGGTGCTAGGTTACAAGCACACACGATCATGCACAGCATTTTTACATAGGTGCTGAGGATCAAACTCACATTCTCGGGTTTGGGTGGCAAGCACTTTTCTAGCTATCATCCCAGCCTCAGATTGCATGAACTTTTGCTCAAGTCCGTTGTCCACACAGATGCCCAAATGAAACTTCATAAAATGGGAATCTGATCACGACCCTGGAATCCTTGAAAGCCCTGCATCTCCCATTTCCAAGAGGACATATAATTCTCCAAATTTTTAAGGTGTGTATGCGGTGGTCAGTGGAACACTTGCAGAAGTTGATTCTCTGCTTCTGTCACATGGATCCTTGGGACTGCACTCAGGTGATCAGGCTTGGCAGCAAGTGCCTTTACCAGCTGAGACATCTCTCTTACCCTACAGCATCTATTTAAAATGGCGTCATTATTTTTTTAATTTTAGCCATTACACTAAGTATATATTAACTTTATTTTATTATATTTTTTATTTTATGTGTGTGAGTGTTTGCCTACATACATGTCTGTGTACTCTATGTGCAGTGCCTGAGCAGGTTAGAAAAGAGTATTGGAATCACTGGGACTGGAGTTATAGATAGTTGGAAGCCACCTTGTAGATGCTGAGAATCAAATCTGGGGTCTCTGCAAGAGCAGCCACTGCTCTTAGCAATTGAGCCCTCTCTTCAGCCCCTATGTCACTGTGTTTATATTAGCATATTTTAATTTTGTAAAACAGTGGGCTTCACCGTGATATTTTTGCATATGTACACAGCATACTTTGGCTCTCTTCCTCTATTACTTTCCCTGTCCCCATCCCATCTTCCATGGTTCTCATTCCTCTTTCCAGGAAAGGAAACACATAAAACTCATAACTGACCACCACTGTGCCTACAGACACCTCTATTTCTCACCAGTCTTCTCCATAGAACTCTCTATTTTAGCCTTAATTTTTAACTGACCTCTAGATACTCCAAGAAAGATTTTCAGCTTCCATATATTGATTCCATCATCCAATCTTCCTACCTGAAGAACTCAGTCTTATCTCCCAAGACTTAAGCCAGATCACCTCTTCTCTTAAAACATGCCTGTGACCCCAGCTTTGCTCTTGACTCAGGCTTACATCTACCATGGTGATCGTTAGGCAGGGCCACCAATGACTGTTCACCTGGTGACAGACACAATCTATACTAGGGGACTCTATGGGCAAGCAATTTGATTTTTTTTGTTCTTCTGTATATTATTAGCCATAGGACCAATGAGGCCCAAATACCCAGGTTTCACGATTTAACCTAGAGAACAAGTAGATAAATAAGTGTATGACAGAGACATCAGATACTTACCCCTGCCTTGATATAGATGGGGACAAAAAAAACCACCCCAGGAGCAGCAACAAGGCAAACGACTGTAACAAACCAAGAGCAGCGTTAAGAGTTTGGCTTGTGACCTTATGTTATGACCTCTGGCCTCCGAATCTCAAGACAAACGAAAACACCCAACTACTTCTCTTAGCACCTGTCTAACATAATATTTCCATACTATAATATCTGACATTGAGCAAGCAGGAGATAAAGTGTTTTGAGCTCATTGGACTAAGTAAAGATTGTGCATCCTCAGACAAAAGCAATGAACTTAAATGGGAGAATTATACATGAGTGCCAAACCACTGAGGATAAAAAATAAAAAAATTAAAACTTTGAGAAGAGAATAACATCCTCAGCTCCCTTTAAGTCTTGCCAAATGTAGTAGCGCTATTGATATAACCTGGTATTAAAGTGCAGGTTTTATGCATGTCATAAAATAGCACAAAGCACCAATGTCCTTCCACAACTAGGGAAGCAGGTATAATGAGTAGTTATCATCATTGTCATATATAGGAATGATGTGAGCTTTGAGATTCAAGAAATTCATGGTCAAAGCTATAAAAAGCCTAGATGTCTATAGCCTGGGAGTGATATACATTGGGTTAGAGGTCACTTTCTTCATGCCGATGGAGGCAGTCTTCATTGTATGCTCTATGGCATTATGAAATCAAATCCCAGGCCACAAGCCATATCTGGCCAAAGTCTGGGTATGTCTTGATATTTCTGAGGTTAAAATGGACAAAAACAAAACAACATTTAGCACTGAGAAGGCAGAGGCATTGTAAGGAACCAAGGCCACTTTCTGAGTCCATCTAAGGTGGTTTGTTTAAAGTTGCACCATATTCCAACTTTGTCTATCCTACTAGTGTACACACACATATAAAAAAAAATTTTTTTTAGAAGATATATAGAAGGGACCTGTGTGGTAGCTTAGTTGGAAAAAAAAAAAAAAAACACCAGCTATACAAGCCCGAGAACCAAAGTTTAACTCCCATGGTGAAAACAAAACAAAACAACCCCCCCCCAAAAAAAAGCAGACTCCTGAGAAGTAGGCTCTGCCCTCCTCCACATGTGCACCGTGGAGAACAGTAAAGATGCAGGCTCCTCATGAGCTATATGATACTTTCACCACATGCCCAGCTGTGCACTAGAGTGGTCTCCATGAAAGAAGACACGTATGCCATTCTTAAGAATTTAGGGTCTAGTGAAGGGACACAGCCACTATAAAATGACGATAGGAAGTTAGAAGGTCCGTGCTAAAGTCCCAAAGGTTTGATACTCCATCTTTCAAAATATTCATTCCTTACTGCACTGCTATTGCCTTATCAGACCTGACTTGAATTTCTACTCATCCTGACAAGCATCAGTAAAACCTCATGCTAGGTGCCAACAAACTCTACCATTATCTTTGATGGATATGCCTCCTGTGTGATCTGTCTTTTTAAAAAATGATTTTTCAGAATTGCCTATATGTATGCTGTACTGTAGTCAGTTCACTCCTCTCTTCCCTCTAAATTTCTCCTGTGCCACTCACTCCTTCTTATGGCCTATTTTCTTCAATTATTATCATCAGTGTGTGTGTGTGTGTTTGTGCACTCACACAACCTGCTCAGTCAATTTAGTGTTACTCAAATGTATATGTATTTAATGCTGACCAGTTCGTATTGTTTAGCCTAACGGGGGTGGGAGGGAAGCTATAGGGAAACATATTTACACAATATGATATCTCACTCTGTAGCCTGGCTAGCCTGGAACTCACTAAGTAGACCAGATTGATCTTGAAATCACAGAAAGCTGCCTGCCTCCCTGCCTCCCCTGCTCCTACCCCCACCCCGTGAGTGCTGGGATTAAAGGCCCAAATGCCTGACCTATTTATGTACCTTTCAATGTGCATATAGTATACACAGGTGTGTTTAGTGGCCCAAGGCTGATGTTAGGAATCTTCCATTGCTCTTACCTTTATTCTTTGAGGCAGGGGCTCTCAATCAACCCAAAAGCTCTCAGGTATGGCAAGTCTCACTAACTAATTTGCCGAATCCCTTGTCCCTACCACTGAGGCTGGAATTACAGTGGGCTGCCATGTGTCTTCAGTGTCCATGTGGATTCTGGGAATCTGAAATCTGTCCTCTTGATTTTATGGCAAGTGTAGCAAACTTGAGACCTCTCCCCAGCATTTTTTTTTTTTTTACATTTTTAATCCTTGCTTTTGGTTCAAGAATAGATATACAGTGTGGCATCTCAGAAAGGAGACAAAAGAGCTCAAACAGGGACCAAGTGAAAGTGGGGCTTGGACTATACAAAAATGACATCCTAATAGGAATAACCACATAGGAAAAGAATGAGGCTACAGAAGCTCTCAAAGACAAAAATTGGACTAGTTGAGGGGGAAATAAAAACCAGAACCAAAGGAGGACATCCAATACAGACGCCAGGAAAACATGAGCTATATTTTGTTGAAAATACCCAGACATGGGTTTCACTTAAAAGAAAAAAAGAATTTGCTGTCACTTACATGTGATTCAAATGCTGTAACAGCAATTCCTGAAGCTGCACCTGTCCCAGCCAGGCCCACAAAGTGGCCACTGCCGACGTTGCTGGCAAACAGAGAGGCGCCCATCTGCAAGACAAGCGATCAGACTAAAGTTAGAGTCATAAGACTGCTGGGAAACAGGTGTTGAGATGTTTCAGTCTCTGTTTCTTGGAGCAAAAGCAACAAATGATCGTGCATGAACAAAAACTTGCCTGTTCCCAGTTATTCTGTGGCCCAGGGACCACGAACACTTTTCACACTATAAAGAGTTAAAAATGTTTTGCTTGTTTTGTTTTTTAATCTGAAGGGTGAGATGTGCAAAGTTGCAGCTAGGTGATATTTGAAATCCAGCATCTCTATCTCTATGCCACAGCATACTGACTACAGGGGCTTTGTGTTGTGGTGGCATTGTTGAGTGTTCATAGCAGACTCTGACCTCTAAAGCGCAAGAGATTTTCAATTAGGCCTTTTACAAAAACAAACCCTGATGTGCCTGCCTTAGGGGAACATCAGTGTATCTCTTGTTCTGAGTGGACCTTCAGGCTTTTAGATCTCCTACCAGCACTTGACACTTGAGTCAGTGACAGACTCCAAAGTTTCATCAGAGAGAACTTCTACCCTTACCGGCATAGCAACCTGTGCTCATTAATTCCATTTTCCATCATGCTGCCTCCTGTTCTTAAAGTTCAGAGATGAAGAGAGTGCTCTCCAACAGACAGAGACCAGCACTAGTATGGAGAACAGAACAGGACTGTGAGATCCTGCAGTGTTGTCTTTGCTGTCTTTTATATTCCTCTTTACACTCACTCTTTGTATGAAGGTGTTTGATAGAGCTGGTTTGTGACTTTAGGATTAGTTGAGAATCATATGATTCACAAAAAGTAGCAAAAAGGCAACACGAAGTTTGATTATGTGCTTCAAGTAAATCTGTTCCTACCATCCTCACCAGACAGTTTTAATTCACTTGCCTTTTATGGTATCTAGATAAGGCAGAATATCTGTTGACGGGAGCATTTTCTGAACACTCACTGTATATTGAACCTAACCCTGACACTCTCTAGGAATATATTGCCTATCCTGCAATAAAACCTGGCTGAGGAAGCCATATACCAAAACTCAGAAAAAAAAAAATATCTGGTGGGCAACAGGCCAGGAGAATCACTGTAACATCATCACGGTGAACACAGCCTGCAATCAGTCAGCCAGTAAGCGTGCAGAACAGAACACGTTGTTCAAAGGGAGAGAGGGAGTGGACCCTGAACTGGGAGGTCAGAGGAAAGATAATCTCCCAGAGAGGAGCAGGATTAGCTCCGGATTGGAAGCAGAAAAGGAATTCAGGGAGCTAATAAATGCTAAGAAGGATTTTTTGTGTGAGGACAAATGAACTAGAACTGAAGTGGCAGGGCTCCCAGACCAAGGCTTTTCTCAGTCGGTTGTACGGTATAATCTTTCTGCAATCCCAGGTCATGGTCTTAAAGTGGAGGATTTATTTAAAAAAAAAAAAAAAGCAAGTTGGCAGGTCCCTCTGCTGCCACCATGACTTATCAATAGAGGCATATCTCCAGAAACCTCTCACCCACTTACTGGCCACCAAGTCATAGCTCGTCCCGCCAGGAAGAAGCCTCCAACGGTGCCTCTGTTTGTCTTCAGCATTGCCTGAACAGGAAGGAAGCCACTGGAAGGTCAGAAACCACAGGTGCACCCCGGATCAGAGACCCTCCAGCTGCTCCACACAGCATGTGACATTGATGGATCTGCCCTTCCCCGGAGAGGCGTACCTTTTTAGATAGAATGACACAGCCTCGGTTTATAATAGACATACAAATCCTGGTATTGTAATGACTCAGTTGAGGGACCTCTAGAAATTATACCTGAAAACCCGGTATTTATTTTAGCACATGAAAACAGTGCCTCAAAAGCTGCCTTTGGAAGAAAATTTGGAGCCTCAAATTCGATACTGAAAAGAAAGAGTGAACAAAATACAAATGGTCTAAACTTCTCACTCAGCAAAGGGAAGTAATTAAATGAGATAAAGGAAGTCCCATTTGTGTCTTTGATCTGAGGTTCTGAGCATGCTAAGCAGGGCAAGAACCCAGCCCTGGCTGTGTTCAAATGATGGTCTTCCTTGGAGAATAAATTCATTCAGTGCAAACATTATTTATGTCACACATAAGCAAACTATCCTGACAGAAAGACAACGCTGCTTGGAAGAACATTGTCTCAGTTCACCGATGATTCACACACCCACCATGACACATTTTCCCCTGCAATCTCAGTGCCCAGCCAGAACTCCCATATACCCACACTCCAACAGCCATCACCACCACAAAATAGATGACAATGACAGAGATGTCAGCAGCATTATTGATGTTCGCTGACAGGGAGGACAGCTCTGAGCTTCCAGTGCTGGAAATGACGCTTGCCGTGCTGGCCATGGCTGTAGGCAGTGCTGTCCCCATTGTGAGGATTGACACCTTTTATATATGAGTATTAAGTTAATGATCAGCCTCAGGTAGGTGGAGAAGGTCAGCAGCGTCTGTCCACGGGAGACCTTTAAACCTCTCCCGTACGTTCAGGCTCTCACCTAGTACCAGCTTCAGTGGAACTGGAAAATCAAGGAGAGAAGCCAGGGCCGAGGATGAACATTGGAGGTGGACAGTGCTGTGACCAGTGCAAAGTAAAAGTATTTAAGACAGCTGTCCAGTACAAGGGCACACAAAGGGAAGATAAAAGGAAGTAAGGGAATAGAGAAGTGAGGAGGACAGGAGAGAGACAGGTAGGATCATGGTAGAGGTCCCTTCTCAGGCAGATGAAATTCCTGGCTAAACTCATCCATTGAAACTGAGGTCACCCAGAACAGGATCTAAGTCATAGGTTCCATCTAGACCCCCACAGCCTGTGCAAAAAGGGCAAGCCTCTTCACCATACTACATATAAAAGGGTGTGGGTGGGGCTGTGTGGTGGGTGAGTCAGAGGGGTTTTTTTTCCCTCATTTATTTTTTATTCACTTTTATATGCTTATAGCCCCTTACCTTCTCCCCAGTCTCACCCTCTCTCCCTCCCTTCTTCCAAAGGGGAGCTCCCAGCTGATCAAGTTTCATCAGGACTGAATGGGTCCTCTTCCCCTGTGGCCTGGCAAGGCAGTCCCTCCAGGGAAAAGTGAACTGAAAGCTAGCAAGTGAGTCCATGTCCACTGCAGCCCCCACTTTCCTTACTAGAGGACCCATTTGAAGCCCAAGCTGACCATCTGCTACATCTTTGTAGGGGGCCTAGGTCCAGTTCATACATGGGTCTTGGTTGATGCTTCAGTCTCAGAAAATGCCTCTCGGCCCTGGTTAGTTGGCCCTGTTTTTTTTTTTTTTTTTTTGTGGAACTCCTATCACTTTGGGGTCTTCTAGTAAAGGGCAAGAACACCAGCCCACCAAAACGTTGACCCAAAATTTACTGTGCCTATGAGATGTGCAGGGACAAAGATAGAGCAAAGATTGAGGGAATGCCCAACTGATGCCTGCACCAGCCAAACACCCACTCTATTAGAGAGTACCAACCCCAGACACTATGAATGATACTCCGCTAAGCTTGCAGACAGGAGCATGTCAGAGTTGTCCTCTGAGAGGCTCTACCCAGAAGTGCCTCAAAACAGATGCCGAGACTCACAGCCAAACAGTGGCCGACGGGTAGGGAGTCTTGGAGCATAGTGGGAGGAAAGAGAAGAGTCAGAGGCTTTGAAGAATGAAATGAACCTACAACCATGTGCTATTGACCCTCATGGCTCAGGTTCCAGGCTACATTGAAGACGCCTGCTTGGCGTTAGACGTAGGACCTCAGAGCATGTGCCTCCATGATCTCATATTTAAAATACATGGTAAACCTTATCTCTGTCAAATGCAGAGCTGACAAAGATTTCTCCCCTGTTCTTTTGCTATGCAGATGCTCTTTAATTATTATTAGTATGTGTGTGTGTGTGTGTGTGTGTGTGTGTGTGTGTGTTTCCAATTGCCTGTTGTCACATTGTTTGCTCACTGAGTAGAGTCCTATTCAGAAGATCTTCATCTGTGCTTGGACCTTAAAGCATCTCTCCTGTATTATCCTCTAACAGTTTCAGAGTTTCATGTCTTAGGTTAAGGTGTTTGATCCATCTGGAGTTGATTTTGTGCAGGGCAAGAGAGATGAGGACCTAGTTTCATTCTTCCACATGTGGATATTCAGTTTCCCCAGAACCATTTTAAAAATTTAGTAGCACTTTTTTTTCATACAGTACGTTTAGATCATATTCTGCCCCTCCCCAACTCATCACAGCTTAGCCACACCTCTCTGCCTAGCCAACTTCATGTTCTCTCTCTCTCTCTCTCTCTCTCTCTCTCTCTCTCTCCCTAGGGATATATATATCCCTCAAAAAATCAGAAAACAACAAAAACTAAAACAAACAAACAAAGGAGCCCGTTTTGTTCTGACCATCTACTTGTGGGCATGGAGCCTGCCCTGAGACGTGGCTGGCATGCCCAGTGACTCTCCATTGGAGAAACTCCCTTTCTTTCCCAGCAGGTATTGGGGTCAGGAGTAGCACTTTCTGTCTCCCTTCCCTTTTCAGTGCCGGGATTTTGTCTGGTTGACCTGTGCAGGTGTGTTGTGCGCTGTCAGTCTATGAAGATCTGGTTCGTGTCATGGATTTGGGGTTCTTCTCCCTCATCTACACCTATAATTCAAAGGTTTGGGTTTTCATGGTTTCCTCCACTTCCTGTACATTCCTTTCCTGTGTTTTTTTTTAATTTAATTTACCATATTTCCTGTGTGTTTCGTCTAGGTCCTGCCTACTTTATCTTTGAGTCTGGATAGTCTATCTTTGGCTTGATTCATTCTACTTCTGGGGCTTGCCTTTGAGATTTACAGTTGAGCTGTTGGGTTTCTCAGTTCCATCTTTACTTCAGCTTGAGTCTCCTTCATTGCTTCTCCCTCCGTACTGAACCTTGTTCTTTAGCCCTGAATTGTCTCCATCATTTCTATCAGCCTCTGTTTGTTTTTTCCTGGGCATCGCTTGGCATTTCTTCTCAAGCTCTTCCTTCTTAATTCCAGTTAGCTGTTTCTTTGTGTCTTTATTAAACTCCCTGGATTCTTTGATGGAGTTGATTTCATTTAGATAATTCTCATTGGCAAACATTTCTACATGACTGGTAGGGTGTTTTTTGTTTGTTTGTTTTTACAGAAGACACAGGATTGATCTTTCACTTTGTTGGTATTTTTGTGATGATATCTGAGCATGTGGACTTCTGTTGTTACTTACAAGGCTGATATGGACACAGCAGGTTGGGGGGGGCAGAATAAAAGATGTGCAAGCTGGCCTTGTGCAGAGATTGGAAATCACATGGGTGGAATGAAGTCAGGTGGACAGAGGGAACTGGGCTGCTCTACAGGATTTGCTTTCTGGTCTAAGAGTGTGGGGGTAAATCTGGCTTGATGAAAAGATTGAATGTTAAGTAGGAAGAGTCTTTTGGTTGGAAGATAAGTAGTGAGTTTCCTGACAGAAGCCAGGAAATACTAGAAATAAGTTTTGGTGCAAGTATGGGAGGCCAGAGTAGGCATCGGCACTGGGTGTGGGATCTAGGCTAGAACTGGTGGTTAGGGAGAAGGTATGGATTCCTCCGGGATTGGTAGTTTTTAAAGAGATATACTTATTTTCATTTATGTGTATGTATGAATGACAGCATGCATGTATGTGTATCAGTGGGCATGTCTGGTGCCCAGGGAGGTCAGGAGGGGGCATCAGATCCTCTACAACTGGAGTAGTTGGTAGTTGTGAGCCTCTGTGTGGGTGCTTGAGACTTGCAGAGGTCCTTGTCCTCTGCAAGAATGACAAGAGCTTTTAACAGCTGAACCAACAAGCCCCCAAATACTGGTAATTTTTGGAGGAGATAGTTTATATATTTTTTTAATGTCACTCGTGTTTATCTATCAGGGTATGTTCATGAGGAATTGGTGTGTTGGTAAAGTCTACTGGAATGGCTATGTTGAGTGCTTTTCCTTTGATGCTTGATCTTACATCTGATTGGTGAGCATTAATTTGGCTCAGCAGTGCTTGTTCTGTCATGGAAACACTGTGCACTTATTTGTGGATTGGATAGGTGAGATCACTTTGATGTACCTTGCCACATGGGCGTGAGGGAGTTTGCATGCTCCTGACCTCATAAACTAGAGTCAGTGAAGTATTGGAAATAGGACCAGGGGTATCAGTTTCACGTGTTCTCTAACCTCATGAGCTAGTGTTTGTGCTGTGCTGTAGGAGTGTATGTTGAAGGGATGCCACAACATAACCATGTGTATACATATGTACATATGTATGTTTAACAATATATACATATACACACATATGTATGTATGTACATACAGGCATATAGTCAGGGAAGTCCAAGAGACCACCAGAAGAATACAGACTATTTCTATTGCCTTGGTGCCTTCCAGAAAAAACAGGAAAGACTCAGTTGTGGAAGACAAACACAGACACAAAATTTGGAGGAATCAGTTTGGATCCGACTTGAAATCCTCCTCACTGAGGATGAGTTCTCATGGTTTGGGAAGGAGCCATGCAAGCAGCCAAGAAAAAAAAAAAAAGCATAAGTAGTCCTATCTGGCTATAACGTCAACAAACCACAATGACTGGTCTGCCAGGTTATTCTTAAAGGCACAATAATGGAGGTAACCATTGAAATGATGATGTGTACAACAGATATTACATGAAAGAGGTTTATTAGATGGAAATGGAGGGAGAGAGGGAGAGAGAGATGATAGGGGGAGGGAGGGAGGTGCCCCAACAGAGAAAGGGGAGAGAGCAAGAGAAGTAGAACAAGAGCGCAAGAGCAAGAGGGAGAAGTAAGAGGCAGGGGTCCATTTATAGCTTCTGTGCAGCTGAACCACCTTCCAGGTGCATCTACCTGGCAGTGACATATGATAACATCATAGGTTTCTAGGCAACCCAGAAGCAGGCTGCCTAAATACTAATATCCCTCCCTTTTTCTATAATTAAAAAAATGAGTGATTTTCATGTAAAGCAAGTTAAAGTACATAAATGTTGGTCATTGGAAGCAGTTCTTGGTTGCCATGCAAGGGGGCAAGAGAGAGAGAGAGAAAAGTAATAGCAACAAAATGTTCAGATTACATGGTGAAGAAAGTGAAAGCTCCTGCCCTGAAAAGTTCAGGGCAGAGGGTGGAGTTTGACAGCCACACACTGCAGCAGATGGGAACTGAGGAATGCTGGGAGAACCTGGAGCTACTTGTCCTGGATGTGAAGCACACCATTCCAGCCTTTTGTTAATAAGTGAATAATGGGTGGAGATTCTCTTCTTGCTACTTTCTGCTGACACTGGGGCAGCTGTAGGGAGATCAAAAGGCTGAAATGCCGGCCAAGTCCAGGAAGACTGGGCTATTTTGATGCTGTCCAGGATCTGTGAGA